ACTTTAGTGAAGGTCTAAACTAACAAGCAAGCAAAGCAACTAAACGGTTGTTTTCAGGTTAAGAGAGGTCACCCGGATATGGTTCCCCCTAGTCTGCAGTTAAGCCGGATTGTATTTACCAAGTTCAATTTCTATGACAGTTATACTGCGGAAGGTTCTCAATCAGCCCGAAGTCTCGACTAAAGGTCTTCAGACCCTCTCAATCTCAGTCTCTAGCAGGCGACTAACCTCCACCGGAGTAAACAGATTGAGGCCCTATGAACAAAACCTCCACTACCGAATTGAATTCGGTACAGAATAGTGAATTGGCTCCTCGACTAAAGTCACCAATTCACTACCTTCAATTAAGGATACTCTATTAACCTAGGCAGATATTCTCATTCTAGGTTAAAGCAGAAACAACAGGAATTTGATCAGGATTCATGCCATTCAATCATTCAAACCTCAATCGAATATAATCAATTCATAGAAACAGTACTTGGGTTCATACAATCAATCCCAACATACAGAACTAGGGTTTCCCACACCCAGATGAATGGGAGAACCACTCCATGGAGAAAGAAGCAAAAGCAGAATCAGACGCGGAAATCATACTGTGAAGATGGATTTCTGCTCCTGGACGTTGAATCGGCACTTCTCCAAGCTCAAACCAAGCTCCAATGTTGTTGAAGATCAATCTAGGGCACTTGGAGACTCTTGTTCGTCGCTTTCTCTCTCTAGGAATCGTTATGTCTCTCTAAAACTCGAATCCCCCTCTGTTTGGCTCGGAATCCGCTTAAAAACCAGAATTTCCCGACTCGCACGGCCAGGCCGCACGGCCGTGCATATCACCACTTTGGCCGTGCGGCTCAAAACGCGGCGCATCAATTAATCGACCTTCAGCCATCTCGCACGGCCAGGGTTGCACTTTGCACGGCCGTGCGAGTTTCAGGGGTTGCCCGTGCATGCTCTCGCAGAATTCCGCACGGCCATCTTGCTCACATGCACGGCCGTGCGAATCCCTGGTCTGGCCGTGCAGCCTCCTTGAAACCTCGCCATTCGTCTGAACTTCGTCCAACCGACCCCAGACTCGCTCCCAAACCTTCATTCCCGTACTAGGACCTGAAATATCACAATCAAGCACAACCTAGCGTGAAATCGGCCTAAAACACGAGAATCAATACCTCAAACGGTGTAAGAACGAGGGCAAAAACATGTGTAAATAACGGTCTATCACGCTATCGGATGCAGCCAAGATTATTCCATCGCATTATGGGCGACATTGCGAGGTTTGAACCCTCATTTGCTCTAAGGCGTGATAGCTTTGGTCAATTGTCACTATCTCCAGAGCAGAAGCTTACTGGTGCGATGCGCATGCTAGCATACGGTTCTCCAGCTGATCAACTTGATGAGTATGTTCGTATGGGTGAGAGCACCTTGATGGAGGTTTTCAGAAAGTTTTGCAACAACATTATCAACATGTACGGGGCCACATACCTTCGCGCACCTACTCCTGCTAATTTAAGGATCTTACTCCGTAAAGCCTCAAGTCGTGGCTTTCCTGGAATGATTGGATCAATTGACTGCATGCATTGGAAATGGAGGAATTGTCCAAGTGGTTGGGCAGGACAATACACCGGCCACATGCATAGACCAACAATCATTCTGGAGGCGGTGGCCTCCTACAACACATGGATATGGCATGCTTTCCTTGGGACACCTGGATCGAACAACGATATAAATTTTCTGGGGATGTCTCCAGTGTTTGATCGTATCGTCAATGGAAGCGCTCCACATGTACGATTTGAGGTAAATGGTCATGCTTATGATCAATGTTATTATTTGGCTGACAGTATTTATCCCTCATGGTCGACTTTAGTGAAGACCTTTAGCAATCCAAGGTCAAACACAGAGGCTTTGTTTGCTCAACATCAAGAAGCACACCGCAAAGATGTAGAGCGGGCATTTGGAATCCTCCAAACAAAATGGGCAATTGTTAGTGGCCCTGCAAGAGCTTGGGATGTTGTCACGCTTAACAATATAATGCTGACGTGCATTATATTACACAACATGATAATCGAGGATGAGCAAGTTGATTCTGATGACGAGATGGATGATGACCTTGATTATGAGGTCCATGCACAACCTGGACCAATCAACCGACACCAATAAACTCTAATTGATTACTTGGCTGGAAATAACAGGCTTCGCTCATCTACAACACATCATGCACTTAGCAATGACTTGGTTGAGCCTCTTTGGAATTTGCACGACAATATCTAGCATTGTTTTACTTCATGTTGCTTGGTTGTTTGTATTTCAAGTTTCAGTGTGTGATTGTATTTCATGTTGCTTGGTTGTTTGTATTTCAAACTTTCAATAACACTTGTTTTTATTACACATGGAATTGCTCAAAGTTCAAAGAGTACACATGACACATGAAAATAACAAAGTTGAAAGAGAACACACAACACATTAAAGATGTAAAGACAATAGAGTACAAATAAGATCTTTTTCTAATTAATAATCCATGACAGGAAAGTAATCGCCATCTCCTCCACCACTTTCATCGCCATCTCCTCCACCACTTGCATCGCCATCTCCATCTCCGCCATCACTTGGATAAGAGTTGGGATCATCTTGATCGTACCCATAAATGTCATTTTGTTTACGCCTCCAAAATCTCTTCTTTCTTGGTGTCATCTTTGAAAAATCCTTCTCCTGATCTCTACAATACATGAATGAGCCTTTTATAGGCATAAACAAGCTTTAAAAAACCTAAACACGAATTGAAACTAACCTATTTCAACAAGGAAACTAACTTAAACAAGTAATCCGAATCCAACTCGAAATCCTAATGGCTTATGGATTCTGGTAGTGTGAGGTAGCATCTTTGAGGCCCTTGACAATGGTCTTCCACCTTGTAGAGGAACACTTTACCTTCAAATAAACCATCAAACTCGAATTTTCATTAAGTGACTTGAGAGAACCAAGCCTCCAAAGTTGGTAACCTAAAACGTCAAAAACACTTAACCAATTTTTATGTTCTTTGTTCCACATTGATCTTGCTTCCTGACCAATCTATTGAAGCTTCAAGGGCAAGCTATTTGGGATCATATCAATTGTTTACTATTTGATTAGTGGTTATATATGTTTTGTGGCATTTTTTGGAATTATTAGGATATTTTGATATTTTAATGAGGGTTTTGGGGTGTTATATATGATATTTTCGTAAGGAGATTTAGTTATGAATCATATAATAGAATTATCGGTTCGTATATTCTGTAATTATGGTGTGTAATCAGTAAATAATAACAAAACCATAATGTTTCCTAATTTTTGTGGTGTATTTATTTCCCTTTTGGGATATCTTTGGGGAAAAAATATAACTTTTCCTAGTTCTAACTTCTAAGTACCTATTTCCCTCTCTTTCTGAACATCTTCCCTTCTCTGTCTCGTCTCTCTCTCTCTCTCTCTCGTCAACCCCAGCCGAACCCTTCTTTCTCCTTTCTTAGACTTTCTTCGTTCACAAGCTACCATTTCCCCTAATTTCATTTGTACTTCCTTCTAAATCCCTAACTCCAATTCGATTCCCAAGATCCTAACTCTATACGGAGAAATCTAGATCCTTGCTTCTAACAGTCTATCAAAGCTTTTTGAGAATTAAATCTTTGTATAAGAAGCAGAGATGACGGCATGAAAACGATCTCCATGTTAAACGATGAATGCGTTGAGAACATCACCAATTTTGAATGCTTGAAGGAGGTGGTTGTTTCCATGGTGCATCACGAGATCAAGCTAAATGACTTGTTTGAAGAGATTGTCACCAATCTTTCGTCTCATATACGTTTGTCCTCTATTTTTTCTGGGGACGACAAAATGAAAGTCGTCTGCAATACTCACAAAACCCTTCATAGCACAGGAATTGAGCAATAGAAATACATTGTCTTTGTTTGAATAGCTAGTATCCTCTATTAGTGTCACACTCACGATAATGTAAGTAATTAGAGATGAGCAAACTTGTGTTAATGTCACCATTTTACAATGCCTGCATGCTACTCAATATTCCATACCATCTTTTACATGTAGTATATTCTCAGACCTCAACGGACCATATCGAGTTAGTCAAGGGATTGGACTAATAGATGATCAAACTATATTAATACCTACCTTAAATCTGAATGATGAAAAAAGAAACTAGTACTTTTGATAAAAAAATATATTATAGTGTTGTACTTGTACCAATATTAAATCTTTTCATTGTAACTTATCTAGATTAAGGCCTTGTTTGCTAATGGTATTTGGGTGATGGCTTTGGTCCCCAAATACCAACCATCATGTTTTTGAGCAAAGCCCTTGTTTGCTGGTTATAAATTTGGTACACAAATCTGTGGGGTCCACGTATTTGGATCCACTTTTTTTTTTGCCAAATTCTTGGGCTCCACGGATTCATAAATACCAAGTTTTATTTGGTATTTGGTGATGGGCAGAAAAACGTGTGGGTAAAATGTCCTTCATGTCCAAGCTATTTTCGTTTATTCCGACTTTGCCCTAATCTAATTATTCTTCATCTCCTTTTTCCTAGGAGCTTTTTGCAAAGAGGTAACGAGGAGGAGAGCAGAGTAAGCACTCTCTCAACTGCTGTAGACGAAGAAGGTAGCAACCAACCTCCTCTTCTCCGGCGCCATCTTTGTCATCGACCAGCCCGGCGGCACTACTTGAATCAGGTGAGTCAGGGCTATGGAATGAGATCTCCGAAAAGCACACCTTCCACAACCCCAATCTGATTTTTTAACCCTAATTAAAATGGACAGTGGTGAGGGTTGTTTTTTACGTCAATATTTCCTTTTCTTTGCAATGAATGGGATGTTGCACATGGTTTCTTCTTCTATGGGTGGGCTGCTGGTTTTTTGTTGTCGATCCACCTACTGTTTGTAGGTTTTGATTTGTTCTTTCAATTTTCAAACTTCTTGCTATGCTGGTGATTGTTTTGGTGTTAGAAATGTCTTCCTAACTTGTTATTACTTTTGATTTATCTTAAGGAAATGGCTCGATTGAGTAGGTGTAGCACCAAGTCTCTCTAACGAAGCAAGAAGCTCTTGATTCTCGAGTGTCAACTTCACAACAGCTTCGGACAACATTCTTGTCGATTTGAACACAGCATCTCTTATGTCGTACCACTCAAAGAAATCACAAGGTTCTTTAGCCTGCACACAATTGAAATTCAACATTGGCAAACCACTACTTCGAGAATTCAGCGAGACAGGGGAATGTCGACGTTTCTGGGAGGATAACATACCATCACACCAAAATTTGGGCATCCAAAAAATTTTCGATCCGGGTTCGTGGCTGTGCGAGAAATTGTTTGAGAAGCCCTAAGCCCACAATCACAAGTCACCTCTTCCTCGTCGTATTCGAAGTCGTCCACCACCTTCGATCCCTTTCGTCTACTTGCCATGAGATGGAGAAGAATAGAAAGAAATTTTACCTCACTCCAACGATTGCAGGTGAAGGTAAAGCTGACGAACCGGCGATGGAACGAGGATTGCGCCACCATCAGTTGAAGGATCACGCACGCACTAACAGGTCACTAGAACTAGGTAAGTTGGAGGTTGACGATGGAGATGGGAGGGACAATGGAGGCCTTTTGCAAAGGGAGCTCTGCTGACAGCTGTTGTACACGAAGGGAGAGATAATATAGCAAAAGAAATAGAAAAGGATAATGTGGTAATTTACATTTTTAATGACTAAATCCCTAATACATAAATCCATAATCAAATCATATAGCAAACAATAGACTTTACAAAAACACAATGCACCAAATACATAATAAATCCTTAAGGTTTTCAAAACCAAAATCTAGACCAAAACCCTCATTTTCAAATCCCACAAGCAAACGATACCTAAATGTTTTTGCTTCCGACGGTTTATTTGGATAAAATATTATCTGTTAGTAACTTATTCTTTAGCTATCCTTCTTTCTTTTCATATATGCAAAGGGGAATTTCTGGTTACAAGCTGTCTCTAGTAATAGGAAAGTTTGAAGCTCAACTCAGATGCTATAAGTTTAGCTCAGTCAGAGCAGCTTGTTTATGAAAACTTTGTCTTGTTTTAGTAGTAAACTATTTGGTAAGCAAAGCAGTAGAAGAACCATGCATAAAAAGAGAATAGTCAGAGCAGCTTGTTTATGAAAACTTTGTCTTGTTTTAGTAATAAACTATTTGGTAAGCAGAGCAGTAGAAGAACCATGCATAAAAAGAGAATAGGTTCCGGAGGGTTGATAGTGAAATATGCATTGCCAGTGTAAAGGTAAGTTAATTTTATAGAAATGAATTTTCCGTTCTTCATATGATTCATTGAGATTAATTTAATGTGCAAGAGGGAATTTTATAGGTTTTGTAACCATGTAGCCATTTAAGAGATGCTAGTCAGAAATCCCTAATTTTGTACTGTTAATGGAAAGACCACCACATGATAAGTCACTAGACTATGAACAACATTGACCCTTTGAACAGCGTAATAACATAGATTATTTTTCAAAACTCAATAGTAGTCTTTACATATTACATTTCAATCAGAATTATAAACAAAATCTAACGGCGGTACAAAGATGGTAAAGCAGTCCTACCAAAAAAAAAGATGGTAAAGCAGAGGAGCGACACAGAGGACAGTTGGGCGTGTGGTGAACAAGCCACTGAAGAATGCAGTCCCTGTGAAAACTGTGCACACAACCAGACAATCGTACCACCACTGAATTCATCTTGGTAGCCAGGCAGATGCTGCACTCCCCACCACCACTTGAATCCGCCTCCACTTCAACCAGAGCATTCCCGAGTCTGGAAACCAGCACTCGCCCCCACTCATTCAAAGCCCTCCGAGACACCAAATCGATCATTGAACCTCGATCCGACGCAGTCATCAGCATGCCATTCTCGACCCTCGTCACGTGCTCCTCTGCCACACGCTTCAGTTCGTCCACTGACATCCTCTCAAATCCTGATCGTCCTCGCGTGGAAGCAGCGTGGTGATCTTGGCAGCGGATCAGAAACTTCTCCAGGTCCTCAATTGCATGTCCCTCTTGTTGCGCCCTGCATATCTGCTGATACTCTGCCTCTCCAACTCTGGTCTTCTTCGCAATGTTCATCACCATCTTCACCTCTACTTTCTTCCCTTCGTCGTCGGAACCGTAACGGCGTTTGGTTCCTGCCATGACTCCGCGCGCGGATTTAACGATGTGGGAAGCCAGCTCTGCTCTGGTCTTTACTCTGGTCCACGACGGCGAAGACGGTAACGATCTCCACTGGATGTTGTTCTCCAACGGGAAGGGAAATCTATGAAGAGTGCTGTAATATATAAGAAAAAATATGGCCGTTAAAATATGACCGTTTTTTTCGTCACTACATCAATTATTTCAAATTTATATTTCAAATTGAATCACAAACAACCAATGAGAATAGAGAAAAAAAAAACAAAACAAATTCCCAACCAAAAAAGTTAAAAGAAAAAAAAAGGGCCAGCACGGTCAGCTGACGTGCTGGCCTGTTTTTGGCAGCCAAATTTCCCTCCCCTCCCCAAAACCCAGCCAAATATCCGTTCCAAAAACCCAATACCCATTTTTTGCTTCCCATTTTTTTGTGGGTTGGAAGAAGAAAAAAAGCCAAATATGGCTTTATAGCTTTTTGACACCATGGGTTGGAGCTAGTCTAAACGATAGAAGATGGATATAAAGGGTAACTATCAGACCTTAGAATTGCTATTTATAAATTGAAATTTCCGATTTCCGCTTCTCTTGCTTATTACCACTATGACCATGACACTTTTTTTTTATCACATTGGATATTACACAAGACTTGAGCCGACAATTCATAGTGCCCAATCAATCTTCAAAACACTGCAAATAATCTGCGTAAATTACTTAATTCGTCGAACAAACAATCACTAACAATATCTCCATTCCAAGCATCATCTTCGTCTTTCTTCAACAAATTCTAAATGGCTTTGACGATTTTAACAAGGTGTTATAACTTACACAATTGTATAGTGCTATCTGGGATGAGATACGGTGACAACCCCTGAGGGGGTTGTGAGATTCACAACCAAGGGCAATTTGGGTATGAAAAAAAAATTTATTAATTAATTTCTTTTGTATTAATTACATATTGGAAATTAAAAACTCATATTAAATACATAATTTTTTAAAAAAACTACAATTAATACACATATATCTCTCTCTACTTTTTCCAGCACCCTCTCTGCTCCGACCGCCAAACTTTCTCCAACCGGCAGACTTTTTCTTGGTGAAATCCTTCAATCAGGCTTACTCCGGCCACCTGCAAAAAAGTACCACTTCGTGAGTGCGCTAGTGGTAGTGATTTTCGTCTAGTGGTATGCTATCAGTGGTACGGCATGCTACTAGTAGTAGTGTACCACAAGAGACTAACACAAAAAACCAGATCTGAAAAACAATTAGGAGATGAGGAAAGGGAAAGGCACGGGAGAGGCGGTGACCTCGTGGCGGCGCCGTGAAGACGTGAGGTGGTGGGAGGCAGCGGCGGTCGCAGTGGTGTAAAGACGGTGACGAGCGCGGCAGGACCGGCGAGGGCAGCCTGACCTTGCAGGGGGCGGCGGGACGACGTCGGCGTGAGGAGGACAGAGGGAGGAAGGCGGCGGCGACGACTGTGATGAAGTTCTTTTACGGCTAGGGTTTTTTGTTAGAGATAGGTGAGAGGGGAAGAGGAGGGAGACGAAGGGAATGGGAGGATTCTGATTTTTTTTTTGTCAATGAAGAATATTTATATGGAAAATGGAAAGGATCACATGTGGTAAGTTTTCCATTTCGAAATTGCCCTTGTTTAAACTTAACCATTGATTTAAAAAAAGAAGAAAGAGATAAGAGAGAGAACGTATCTGATGGCTACAAATTGGGTTGTGAATCTCACAACCCCTAAGGGGTTGTCACCGTAACCCATCCCATGCTATCCTCCTTTTTATAAGAGTATATGAGGTGAGCAGTATTGACGAAACAGATTGAAACATTTAATTTATAGTTAATGTCAGATATTACTTTTTTGTTTTCTTGTGTTATTAAATATATCGATATGGCATTGAATTTGATTCTCAAATTTTATCTTTATGGTTCATGTTTTTTTCTTTCATTTAAACACATCCTAGTCTCTTAAGGCTAATAATGTAAGAAATTTCTTAAATCCATTATAATTGTAGGACCAATCTAGTGAGTTGCATAAGAATGGAATTGTAGGACCAGGTAAGATCACAACTGGCTCTAGTTGAACATCTACCAAACTGATCAAGGAGATGGGATAGGAGAATGGGCAAGCTTATTAGCCCTAACTGCCTGGTATATATGGAATTACAGGTGTGATCTTACCTTCCACAACAAAAATATGACTGATTCCTCAATGATCAATTATGTCACTTCTAAGGCGAGTGACTGAGCTAAAACTTGGGAGCTGGCAAGTATCAATATAGATACAGGGAGAAGGACACAACGAGAGGGATAGATGATAGGATGGTTAGCGCCGCCTCCGGGATGTTTGAAATTGAACACGGACGGGGCAGCTTAAGGCAGTCACTGGCTGATTACGGCAGGAGGAAGCATACGTGCTCTGATGGTGATTGGATGGGCGGATTTTGCTGCAAGATTGGGATGGGAACTGCCATCCTAGCAGACTTATGGGGTATTCTGAAAGGAATCGAGTTTGCTTGGAACAGGAGCACTCAATTTCTGATTGTTGAGTCAGATTCTAAGATGGACATTGATTTAATCAACAATTGGATGGACAATGTTCACCCTCATTCAACTATGCCTGCTGCGATTCGAAGAATGATGGCTCAAAATTGGGTGGTGAGGTTAGTACATACGTATCGCGAAGGGAATAGAGTTGCGGACTGGCTCTCGAAGCACAGTCTCATCTATCCATTTGGTATGTATGAGCTAACGGATCCACCGCCTGAGCTTGAAAAGATTCTGTTGGAGGACATTATTGGAGTTAGTTTCCCTAGGATGGTTGCCCATTGGGGTAGATGATAGAGTGGTCTTGAACTGCTGCTGGGTTCTTCTATGTTTGAAGTTCTGTTTTATCTGGTTTTGAGGTTAATTTTGTCTAGGCTACAAGCCGGCCTGCTGCGCTTGTGCAGCTGGTTTGGGTAAAGCTATGATTGATTTTTGTTTCGTTCCCTGGCCTTGTGCCTCCCTCTATTAAAAAAAAAGAATGGAATTAAATAAAGTGTTATAAACGCGCTACTACGGATCGGGAAATTTCCAGAATCGATAAAGCAGGAATACAAAAGCGAGAATCGAAAAAACACAAACACACGATTTACTTGGTTCACTAACACGATGTGTGTTAGCTAGTCCATGGGCGAGAGAGAGCCAATTTCACTATATCGAGAAGATTACAGATTACAGAGGAGTATGAGTAGTATTTATAGTACTTC